GGAGGCGAAGCAGGAACTTTCGAAGGATGAAGAAGGAAGAAGCTGAATCCCGGCACCGAGCTGCGACCCGAGGCTAGCTGGAGGAGACGTAGAGGTGAGAGGATGAGGTCGAGCCTGGATGAAATTGAATTGAAATTGAGGGTAGATTTGGAGGAAGATGATTTGGGGGGGGGGGGTTTATAATATATCAGTATTGGGCTCAGGTTTTTGGGCTTTGCAATTTGAGGCATTTATCTGGGAAAAAAAAAAATTTTTTGCAACATTTGATAAACGTTGCGAAAGGTCTCACTCTTCGCAACGTTTTGGCAAACGTTGCTAAAAGTCTCACTTTGTGCAACGTTTTGGCAAATGCTAAAAGTCCCACTTTTCGTAACGGTTTCCAAACGTTGTGAAAAATAAAGCAATCCACAACACTCAACAAATGTTGTGAAAAGGGGTCTATTACAACATTTGTCTAAAAAACGTTGCCAAAACTCATTTATACTAACCAATGGCAACATTCACTTACTAAAATGTTGACAAAAGACCCTTTTAGCAACATTTATCAACAAATGTTGTTTTTTTAATGTTGCCAATGACTCTTTCATTGTAATTAGGACTAAACAAATTGATGTGAGGTATCATTTTGTGCGTGATCTGATTGCTCGTGGTGATATTATAGTGCAATGTTGGTACTAAGGATAATCCTGTTGATATGGTGAGAAAACCACTTCACATTGCTAAATTTGAATATTGCTTGAACTTAGTGGATATTTGTCATTGATTTAGTCCATTGGAGCTTGTTTGGAAGATGATGAATGGTGTTTACCTGAAAATGTGTCTTGAATTCCTTGTGATGTAATTTGTTTGAAGGTAGAGATTTGTTGTGGTATGATTCAAATTCCATATTATTTGGGTTTGGTTGTATAGAAAAAGTCTAAAGAGCTTGGATTTTGAGAGTTCTAATGAATGAAAATCAAATTTCATCAAAAAATTGAGAGTTTGACTTGGAAAATGACTTTGAGATGAAGAAAACAACTTGAAAAAAAAGAAAAGAAAAAAAAAAGAAACAAGATGCACAGCGCCTCATCATGATCAATACAGAGAACCCGGGGCTACAGCGTCGAGTGGGGGCGCCCGGAAGGTGGCGCTGAGGTGCCACGTGGTTTTTTAATTCCCCTTTTTTGGGGATATAAAACTTCTTCATCTAAAACTCCAAAAGGAGATACACACACACACACACATATTCACATTGTATCTTCACAAATAATGATTCAACAACATCTAGAGAGTTAGAAAGTTTACATTTCAATTGAGAACATTGAGATCTTGGTATTGTAAACACAATTGATATCGATTATAGTGAATTTTTCTCATCTGCTCATGGTTTTTTCCCGTATTGGGATTTCACGGAAATCTTGGTGTTTATTTTCTTCTTATTTGTTTCCTTATCGTGGAGGCGGACCCAGCACCTGGCGAGCCCCGCGGCCACCCGCGTTGAAACCTTCAAACCGCCTAGTGTCGTCGGGTGACTGTATTGCAGAGGACGGAGAGAAAACAGGAAGAAAAACTGATGAAGAAGGGAAGGGAGGTAAGTTTTGGGCTTTTTTTTGTTGGGAATTACAAAAAAATTTAGGCTTTTTTTTTTTTAGTCTTGGCCCTTTTGTTTTGGGCGGAGAGAATTGAGCCTATTTCAAAATTAGGTCAAAATCCCATATAAATGAAATAATATCCAATTTGAAATTATCCATTACGGCATTACTCCAAAACCCCTTCCCTTCACTCTTCACTTCTCCTTCTCCCTTACCCGGTTGCTGTGTTTCAGCTGCTGCTTGCTGTCGATAAGTGTAATTGGTACCTTATTGGCTTTTCGTAATTTCGTTTCCGTTTTCGTTTCTGACTTTCTGTTTCAATTTTTTTTTTTGTGAATACATATATGAATTTGAAGAAAACAACAAGAATTAAGAAAATTAGCATTTCAATTTTCAGTTTTCACCCCATTTTCAGTTTTTCACCCATTTCAATTTTTAAGTTTTTGTGATTTGTCAAGCTTCAATTTTCAGATTTCCACTCCATCCATGAATATTTGGCTAGAGTCGGGATTGTAATCTGTACTCTCTATAGAATCTTTATATCAAAATTCAAATTGATATGTGATAACTGTGTGTTGAAATTGATTAAAAATTATTCAACTTTGACTTAATCTTTGATATTTATTTTTCCTGCAGATTTTTGCTCCTTAATTCACTGTCTTTTGGTTAGTAAATAAGTCTGAAAGTAGTGGAAATAATATTTAATATTGGTTGAGATTTTTTAGCTTTTCAATTTGCTTGTAAGCCTATAAATAGGCACCTTCAATTCTGAAATAAAGCGTACAGTACATAACTTGCATACTCTGCATTTGTGAGTGTTAATTTCTCTCTGTGGCTTCTTTTTTCAATACTCTACTACTCTAAATTCCCAACGCTGTGGACTTCCCACTTCCACTCTTCCACTCTCTCCAACTAGAGGTCTAGAGCCAATAGTCATTGTCGACGTCCGCCCGGGCTGAACTTCTGGGTTGGGTCCACCCTTGCTTATCGTCATTATCTTGCGACCCAGAATTATAATAGAAATCATAGTCAATGACGAGATGTACTAATTAATGGAATATTGAGGATAAAAGTTTAATGAAAAAACTTAGGGAATAAGTGCAATAATGAAAAAAAAAAAAAAAAGTTGAGTACCTTAAATATAATTAAAATATACCAGAATTAACAAAAACCGTGAGTGAATATGATTGCCCTTTTTAAACCAAATATCCTAGTTAAAACATGACGATCAAAACTGGAGTTCACTGCACGATTATTATATTGTAGGATTAGAATCCAATAGTTTAAACTATATAAAATCAATCATGGATAATAAAGTATGTATAAATTCCATTATTAATATATAAATATAATATTTCGTCGTTACTATTACAAATAACATTAACTGCATGTACATATGAAATTATATTAATATATTTGGCCATGATTTGGAATACAACATTGGAACAAAGAAAAAAAATGGTTTTACCAAACTTCTTATTTCTACAAAGCCATCCAGTCTCCAGTTTCATCTTGTGCAAGATTTTACAAAACTTAGCGCAGCCACCAGTTGCAGCGGCCATCCCTTGATCTAGCGGCACAGACGTTAATCAATATCACCTCAGCTTGGTGGAGGTCGGCCGCCATTTGAGGTGGCTTTAGGTTATTCCGGCAGAGTGGACATGTCTTGTGCCCATATCCTAGCCACCTATCTATGCAAACTCTATGATAAAGATGTTTGCATCTCAGCTCTCTAACGTCATCCCCTTCATCAATTCTGCATAAGCAAACAGCACATTCTGCATTATTATTATTATTTTCGTAACGCGTTACAGCAAGGTCATCAACATAGTCTTTTAACTCGATTCCGCAAGGCAGAAAGAAGGATTGGAGAAGCAGATAATTCATTGCCCACTTCAACTGGGAAGCAATCAGAACTATGTAGTTCAGTACAACAGATTGCTGAAACTTTATATGAATCATCTTATGTACTGTTTTATTGGTGCAGATTGCTTTTCAAGGGAATGGTAGGGACCGATGCAGTCGTGTGATAGTAAGGTATATATATATATAATATGTTAAAGAGAGTAAATATAATATTCTGTTCCAACATATATCATACTATTCATCTGACGTTAGCATGAATATTATTTGGGGCTGTGGACTGATATTTTTTCAATAGGTTAAGAGGACTTTCTTACACCCCGTTCTGTTCGGTAAAAGATGTCATTCCAATTACGCCAGTTGAATGTGGCAAAGAAAAATGTTACCCCTGCAAATTCGCAACTTAAGCATAGGTTGGGAAACATTTTTGATAATTTTTAAGTAATTTTTTAAGAAGAATAGTAATGGATCACGAATTGTGCTAATAATGAATATTAATTTGAAGTAAGTGAATGAAATTAAGATTTGACTTTAATTGAATAGTAAAAGTTACTTAATAGAAACGCTTCATAAACTGAGGCTAAACATCTCTTTATATCTCTATAAACTGAGGCTAATACCTTTTATCCTTA